GCTGGTGAAAAGAAGAAAGCCAAGCGGTCTCTTCCGCTTGACAGAACAAAGGCAGAGTGGCCTGGCCAGCGGGCAGGCTCACCCTCCTGGACTCGTGATGTGGGGTGAGCTGGAAACGACATCTGTCGGGATTCAGGGAACTGGCTCCAATGCTGGCAGCTCAGGGGCTCACGGCCCCAAACAGGACTGAGACCCGAGTGCCAGAGAGGTCTCGCCGGGCAATCCCACGCCAGCCGAGGGCTGCTGGAGGGGCTGCTCCCCCAGCCAGGCTGGCAAACCCGAGCCCAGGCTCTTCTCTGGGATCCAGAAGGACAACCTGTACCCCGATACTGACCATCAGAATAAACCAGAACCCTGGTCTGGGCCGAGGCCTGGTGCTCCCTGGGGTCCTGGCGAAAGCCACCCCCTGACCCTCAGACAGAAAGCAGAGACCGGGCAGGCTGAGCCCACCCTCTCCACATGTCACGCCTGGCAGGGTGGACACGCTGTCCCGGTGGCACCCTCGGGAGCCTGCCTTTGACCTCCTAAGCTGGGGTATGAGGATGAGTCAACCCGTGAGTATAAAAGCAAGACCGTGTTGGGATCCAGGAACCTAGGAGGGTAGCGGGGCCAACCAACTCCCACCACTCGCATGGGTCATGGGGGCAAGAACCGGCCGGGCAAAGGAAAGGCTCTGCCTCCAAGGACAAGGGCTCCTCTGTTTCCAGAGGTGCAGCCGATCTCCCGACTGAGCCACGCCGAGAGGTGACCGCACAACCAAGCTCTCAAGCACCCAGAGGTGGGGCCCCTCTGATACAGAGGGTGCAGGAGCAAGACCAGCCTCGGCTGCACTGTCAGCCACCCATCCCTGGCAGTGCCCACCCATCCCTGGAGGGGGCCACCCATCCCTGGCAGTGCCCACCCATCCCTGGAGGGGCCCATCCATCCCTGGAGGGGCCCACCCATCCCTGGCAGTGCGCACCCATCCCTGGAGGGGCCCACCTATCCCTGGCAGTGCCCATCCATCCCTGGAGGGGCCCACCCATCCCTGGCAGTGCCCACCCATCCCTGGCAGTGCCCACCCATCCCTGGCAGAGCTCTGAAAGGGCAGCAATGTTGGTCTCAGCCCTGAACTTCTGTCCCTCAGACACCTGACCCTTGGTCAGGCCTGCACACTACAGCCGAGCACAAGGCTGCAGGCCCGAGCAGCAAGTGCCTGCAGACAAGGCCACAAGCCAGAGGGCCCCTCTGTGGACCCTCCGTAACCCAAGACAGACACAGACTGACCAAAGCCAGCTGGGCCTCCTGGAACCCAGGGAAGCAAGGCTGCTGGAGGGAGGGCGCCCCGGAACCCAGTCTGAGAATGGCGCGGAGACAAGCCGGGCAGGTGCCCCTCCTCTCTAGGCTTCTCCGGACGCGTCGGCAGTGGTTTCAGGGGTGGAAGCAAGCACAGCCACTGCTCACTGAGTGTCTCTGGCTAAAGTATTTGCACACGTCACTCAGTCCCACAACCTATGTGTAGGGACAGTTAGGCCAGTGGCGGGAGTCGGGGCTCAGAGAGGCTGGTGGCCAGTCTGAGACACAAAAAGGGTACGGTCTTTTATTTCAATAGTTTTATTCATTTCAAACGGGCCGGATCTGGCCCGCGGGCCGTAGTTTGCCCACCGCTGGTCTAGAATTATAATTTGAACTCAGGACAGGGCCCCAGGCCTGTACTCCCTCCACAAGCCCACGCCTCAGCAGGTCCTTTCTCCCCAGCGTGCACACGCACCCCACCCCCCAGACTTCCTGCCAGGGCCAGAGGCCCACGAGGAACCAGAGGTCACTTGGGGCTGACAGGTCAGCCCTGGATGGAGCCCCGAGCAAGCGAGGAAGCCTATCCCTTCAGAGCAAGAGGCCTCTCCTCGTAAGGGGCAGAGACGGGGGTGGGGGGGTGGGGGGGAGTCTGCAGTGCTCGGGGGAAGGAGTGTGAGCGCTGCTCTGAGAGGCACCTTTAAGTGTCACCTGACCTAAGAAAGTAACAACCACGACTCTATTATAAGGATGACAGCTCAGATAAGGCCTCCCTGGCCCTGTTTCAAGTGAAGGAAAGAGAAGCAGACCTCACCCCTGGGGCTTAGAGATGGAAAAAACACCCAAAGGAGTAGTGAGCTGAAGTGAAAGTCAAGCGACTGAGGAAATGGAGAAAGAGACACAGGAGGAAGCGGTAAAGCCGACCCCTGGGGAGAGGCCCGCTCACAGCTGCGGCCGGGCCTGGGCTGAGCGAGGCCCCCAGTGGGGAGCCCCACCCCGAGAAGCTCCGATGTCAGCCCCTCGGAGAAAGCCCACATTCAAGACAAGAATGATGAGTGACGGCGGCTCATTAGGAAATGTAGTTTCTGAACAGGCAGACCGAAACTCAACTTGCACACAGCCCCCTCCGAGCTGGAAGAGGAGCCATGGCCCCGAGGACAGCGAGCTGGGCTGTCGGACAAGGAGCGGCTGACTGGGGGCCCCGTGGCCTGAGGCTGCCCTCTCGCCCCTCTCGCCACCTTCGTGCCAGAGGAGCCCGGGGCGGACGGGCACCAAGGCCTGTGTGCGCGGGAGGCGGCTCGGCTCGTACCTGAGACCCTCTGCTGCTCCCGAGAAAAGTCAATCCCTTCTCCGATGGAGCTCATGATCTTCTCAATCTGAAACGAAGAGGAACAGAGAGGAGAGGCGTCAGGCTCGGGCTCAGCAGGGGCAGCTCACCGTCCGTGCACCGGGCAGGCCTCGGGCTCCTCCGAGAGTCCAAGGGAGCACCAACCTGCAAGGCTCCAGGATCTGCCACAGACGGAGAAAAGCCCCCAATGGCCACGGCCAGGTGGGGCCTGAAGACAGGCTCTGAAGGGCGCGAGCGGGTGGAGATGCCAAAGGCACGCGTGCCTCACCCCCAATTCTCCCAGACCAGGCAGGCCTGGGCAGAGGGTGGGAGCAGGCCAGGCCCAGCCCTGCACACGCCAGCATTCCGATCCACGAGCGAGGCAGCCAGCTTTGTCGCAGCAGCACCCCATGTGCCTAGAGCAGTGGCAAGTCGGAAGCACTCAACAGAGCACCGATGCCGCATGACCGCCCGCTCAGGTGCGTCCGCTTTCCAGAGCGGAGATGAGCACGTAACCCTGAGAGGAGGGCCTTTTGCTCCCTGGAGGCCAGCCATCCCGGACAGAGCTCCGCGTCAGGGATGCGAAGGGCCGGACACTTGTCCTCAGGACCACAGCGGACGGCTGGTCTCAACGCGTCCCATGTCTCCAGCCCTGGCCTGGTATGGACCACCTGTCCAGCCACCTGGCTTTGGTCACCCCGAGCCAGGCCCAAGCCCCCCACCCCAGGAAACCTGGCCAGGGGCAGCAGGCCTAGGCGGCGAGGGGCCACCTCCTCTTCCTCCGCTCCTCCTTTCTGGGTTGCAGTGATCATGAGCTCATTCACTTGCTCTTTTTCCAAAAAAAATGGAAAGAGAACCTTTTGTACCAGGGCTTGGAAGCTCTCCTCTAAGTGCAAGCGAGGAGCCTGGGTCTGACAATCAGAAAAACAGCCGCTCTCCGGCCAGCCTGCAGCTGGCAGACAAAGCTGGCACACTGACGCCCGGCAGAAGCGCTCAGGGCAGCCGGCCCTGCCCTGCCCCCTCTCCCCCCCGCCCAGCCTGGAAGAGGCATTCTCCAGCCGCAGAAATGACTGCCTGCTAACAACACTGCGAACTCCACCCTGGGCTCAGCAAAAGCAAAGGGACCAGGACAGCTGGCCGGTGGGGCAGTGGCCGAGGCCGGCCGGCAGCAGCACCCCCCAGCTCCCCCCGAGCAGGCAGCGCGGTGGGCAGGGAACGGCCCAGGTGGACAAGTGGGCTCTCAACACCAGGGCCTCCGTGTTCCGTCTGTAAAGCAGGGACAGGCCCTGCCTCCCACGAAGGGTTGTGTGGACCAGGAGTATTGGTTCGTAAAGCACCCGGCCGAAGCCCTGGCTCACAGAAGATGCTCCATACAAGGTCAGTCGGCTTTCCGCGTCCCTCAGGTATCAGAGTGCTCTAGCCCGGTGAGACCGACCTTTAAAGTTTTAAAACACATTTTCCTCACATTTATTTTGTGACGGGTAATGCATCCACATGATTCCAAAGGTACAAAAGGACATTCAGAGAAAGGTGTCCTGCCCCCATATAACCAGTTTCTCCAGTGACCTGGGTCCATCCACTCGCATGTAATCAAACCTATGAATGGACCCACCTCCCCACTGATGGAGGCATTCCCTCTCCATTTAAGACTGCCCCTTGGAATTCTTCCTACAGAAGAGAACTTTAAGAAAAGGAAACATTTTAAATGGATGGGGTACAGCATCCCGGGTGTGGCTGTGCGATAGTTATTCACCAGGCCCTGCCGTGCGCGTGTGGCCTCGGTCCTCTCTCATGGTAAGCAGAGCCGCGGCGGATACTGTCCCACATGCATCTTTGTTCTCCTGTGCAGTCCCCCCGTCGAGTGATTCCTAGTTACCCCGAGAGTCCTGGCAGGCACAGACCTCACAGGCCCCCCCCTCCCCCGCTGACTTTGCTAAGGCCTTCCTGAGACGGACAGTTGTTAACTGCCCCCGTCAATTCACCCCATTTGCAGAAAACACTGATTTATAAACATTGTCTTTTCACGACTTAAACCTTTTTTCTAACTTCAACCCAGGGGTCCCGCTGTTTCCCCAGGAAAGGCCGTTCTCCAGCAAGCTGCTCCCCACCCCGGGCTGCACGCAATGCCATGCCAGCGCCAGGCTGAAGCCCGGTGATCCAATCAGGTGACAAGCCAGGAAGCTGGGCAAAGAGTGGGCACGCGATATGTATGTGCTGATGAGCCTTCTTTTTCCTTCCCCACATTTATGGGAGGAAAGTAGGGCGCCCGGGTGAGGAAACATCCTAGGTGGGTGATGGGTCCTTATCCCAGGCACCCCTCTTCCAGGCCAGAGGGTGTGTCGGGGAGCATCACCATGCAACCCCCCTTGCGGGTGGAGTCAAGCATGCTTTGTTTGCTATTTTACACCCCCCATCCCTGGCCCCTGGGCTTGGCTCGTGACACACACACACACACACACACACACACACACACGAGGGGGGAGGGAGGGGAGGAGAGAGGAGAAATGAGTGGTTTCCACTTGCTTGGAGCCGGCAATGAAAAGTGCGTTCAAGGCCACGCAGAGGGTCAAGGGTGGGAGAGCTGAAATGGAGGAGACTCCAGGTGTCCTTTGAGGTGAAGTGGTCACCCACATGGCACATTTCACCGTCGTCATCACCTAATACCCAAAGCCCCAGCTGGCCTGTCCAGTCCACACCTCCTGGCTGCCTCATTCATGAGACTGTGCCAAAGCGCCTCTGGAATCACAGCCAACAGGCGCCCTGTGCCTCCTGCTTGCCCCAGATACCCTCAGGCCACCGACCAAGGGCCAGGGGACGCCCACAGCCCTCGGGTGGGGGTGAGGACTCAGGACTGTCCCCTCCCCTGGGAAGGGACTGAGCTCTGTGGACGGCAGCACCAGTCCGCGGAGAAGACCCGTTAAGGAGGAGCTGAGGACGGGCAGCAGGACTGCCGGGGGGAAGGGGCAGCGCAGCCGCCCTGCCTGTTCAGAGCCCGGCAGGTCCCTGCCCTGGCAACGCCGGCACAGACTGGGGCGTGGTCCTGCCCGGCCTGGGAGACGGGGAGGAGCTGGGCCACATGGTCTCTCCCTGTTCACCGCCCTGCCCCCTCCAGGCCCGGAACCAGCAGAGAGTGAATGTGGTCATTCAGTCTAGACTAAGAGGAGCGGTCACAGGAGCAGATACCATTCTGAGCTGATCTACACTTTGTGCAGTTTAACCGTTTAGGCTGCTTTCCCAGGAATGGGGGGGGGGGGGAGATGATGGGAGGGCTCAGCTCAATTCTGTCTTCTCTACTGTTGAGAATCAGTGTCATTTTTGGAGAGAGCTGGGAAACAGCCACACTGTCATCACTTCCCACCAACTCGATTAGGGAACTTGTGTCTGGTAAGGAAAGACCTGAAGGCTATTATCATAATGGAGTCATGTTTGGAAATAGTCCATTTTGAGAAAGGACTCAGGATGATATGCATTCCCTATGTGCCCCCCGCCCCTGCACCCAGGGCTGTATAAAATGCATTTCTTATGTGCCCCTGGCCACCCCCCCCCAGGGCTGTATAATATGCATTCCCTATGTGCCCCCCGCCCCTGCCCCCAGGGCTGTATAAAATGCATTTCTTATGTGCCCCTGGCCACCCCCCCCCAGGGCTGTATAATATGCATTCCCTATGTGCCCCCCGCCCCTGCCCCCAGGGCTGTATAAAATGCATTTCTTATGTGCCCCTGGCCACCCCCCCCCAGGGCTGTATAATATGCATTCCCTATGTGCCCCCCGCCCCTGCCCCCAGGGCTGTATAAAATGCATTTCTTATGTGCCCCTGGCCACCCCCCCCCAGGGCTGTATAATATGCATTCCCTATGTGCCCCCCGCCCCTGCACCCAGGGCTGTATAATATGCATTCCCTATGTGCCCCCCGCCCCCGCACCCAGGGCTGTATAAAATGCATCCCTGTGTCTGAAAATAAAACCAAAAACAAACACGGAGGTGCTGCTGCCCAGGCCACCTGACGCCTGCGTGCCTGGAACACGGAATCCTGGCTGCCCACGGGCTGCAGCGGGAGGTGATCTGTGCACAGAGAGGCCCCCATTCGCCACCACCAGGACTGCTGCCAGGAGCACCTCGGACTAAGAATCCACTTTCCGGGGGAGCAGAGGGGGGCAGCTGGAGGGAAGAGTGCTTCCCCGGGGTGCTGAGGGCATTCCGTGTGCCAGGAGGTGTGCGGGGCACGGTTGTCCACACCAGAGCCACAGGCCCGAGGGAAGCCTTCCTCCGGGGGGTGGGAAGGTGAGAGGCGGGGCTCCCAGCTGTAGCCGCGTATCAGAGCAGGAATCGCTCGGGTGGACCTGCCTGGGAGCCCCCAGGCGAGGCCAGTGCAGCGGAGGGAGGGAAAGGGATCGCCTTCCTTCTACCTTCTTTTGTGCAAATGGGAACAAGGGGTGTGTCTGTGATCCACCAGGAACTGAATGTGGCTCCTGAAGTCAGACACTCCCCCCCACCCGCTTCCTGCTGCCCGGGGAGCTGCCCGCTCCTAGGGCCCTCCCACCACTCGGAGCACACACTGCAGTCTCCTCTGCCCCCAGCACTGACCATCATATCCGCCCAGAACCACACTCTGCTTTGCATGGTGCTTCCCTGGGGGGCTGTTCCACAGCGCGTCCCAGAGACACTGCCGAAGCATGAAGGGCGACGATCCTGGCCCCCCGGGGTGCCCTTGCAGAGCTGGCGCACTGGCGTGCCCGGGACAAACAGGAACAGCTGCCATGTGCTGAGTGTGCACGCCAGGCCAGTCACTCACTGGCTCAGTGCGAGGGAGAGGCAGCCACCACGCCGGCCCAATCCGGGTTCCCTAACCCACTTCCCGCCTCATCTGTGCCTTTCCCAGATGGTGCCCATCCTCCAGGTGAGGAAGTCGAAGCTCCATGCCAGGACAGACTCCCACGCTGCCCGCGGATAGCACAGGGCTCGCTCCCGAAGAGCTCGAGCTTCCCGCGGGGACCAGGTGGCAGTGGGGACTTTCCTGCCAGGGTCTCCACGCCAGGGCACAGGGCTGA